ACATTTTACACTGTAACCCAGGACAGCAGGGGTTAAATGCAATCCCTTGTATTGCTGATTCTGTCCTCTTGGTTTACTGATCTCACATTGTCTCTTACCTCTTTTATTTCTAATTCTTCCCCTAGAAGAGCCATCAATTAAATTTTTTGAGAAGGAAACAGTTGTCCAGAGTAATTCTCTGGCTTAGATGGTCAGCTTTGCTTGATTTCACTGATAAATTTTTCTTTTGCATCTGTTGTTATTACCGAAATTTTTCCTGAAGTCCATCTTTGACTTCTGTGAGGAACAAAGCTACTTATTTATATGTACAGACTTATTTACTAAAAAGAGATACTCTCCACCGGAGAGTATCTTCCTTTCCCAGACAAATGGGAGGGAGGGAAGGAGAGAAGCAGAATTGAATTGATTGATACCTGTGTTGGGGCTTTTTGTTTGTTTTTGTTTTCCAATAGTTGTATCTTGTAGCCTGTGCTACCTGGGAGAATGAGTTCTGCCTGGAATAGGTGATCTAGTAATTAAGAACAAGTGTGGGCTACAGAAATGTCCAGGGAATGTGTGGGCATCCTAGAAGTTCACCCACTTTGGATGTTCCCATGTAAGAGTATGTCCCCTGCTCGCCCCAAGCGTACGAATGGCAGGTACAATGTAAGGTGTCTTGAGCAGTCTTCATTTGAAGAGGTGTCATCCTCGCTTTTATCTCTGCCTTTTTCTAAGTGATGCTGTTGCATCTGTGACGGCTTAGGAGCATCAAGAAGATGAGGTCAGCGGTAGGAGCACAGTGACTTTTATTAGACAAAACAGCTTATTTGGTAACTGTGACCAAAAGCTTGTTTACAAGTCCATATAAGACTGTTTTTCCCCTCAACTGTATTATTAGGCCTGATAAAAAGTACTTCTTTCGCACACAAGCCTTGTCGGTGGTCTTCCAAGACCTTTTCAAAAGGTGAGGAGTTTCCCTAGCTGATCTTCCATTGAACCTCCCAGATGTAGAGGTGGCAGCATGGTTGCAGTCTGTTTCTGTCCACTACCCTGATGGACAGCTGCTCTATTTAAGGAGTGTTTGGCTTTTGTGGAGGGGTGGATGATATTTTTGTTTCTTCTTTTCTGAATGAGATGCTTAAATGCATCTTGTCAGGTGATGGATCTCCACAGAGATACCTCACAGTCTTCCAGACATTGTCCTTGGCATCGGGCTGCTGTCCCAGGGGAAGGGGACGGGCTGTCTCTGGCCTCTCCGCAGACTTGTGTGGGTAATGTGAACGCAGTGACATAAGGCCCATAGGAAAACAAGGGAGCAGGGGGAGAGATATTCCTTATGTCACTGATTTCTCAAAAGGATGAAATATACAACTTTTATTTTTCTTTCTGGAAAGGGTAATGAACGTGGGTCTGGCTGGCAGCAAATTCCATATTTTGTCAGATGTTTTGAGGTGTTTACAATCTTTCATCCTCAAATCCTGGTTCTGCAGGGTTCAGCATTTCTGTGATGTTTGATATGAAAGATGCACAAAATCAACGCGATACTGGACACCTAACCTGCTTTACGACCCTGATGATGGTAGTACTTATCATGTGGTTCCTCCCAGATATCAAAGCTGATGCTAGTTTTGCCCTAAGAATGGATGTGAGGGATTGACATTTAATTGAGCATTGGCAAATTCCAGCCGTTCCATTATTTTGTAGCTTCCAGCATTTTTAAATTGCAGTTTCATTGCCACGCTACAAAGAAGGCAAACCAGCTTCTGTGCAGTCTGTGGAGACTGCATTTTAATTTAAGACACTTCCACACTGAAACCAGCCTTGTCTGACATATTTCACTAGGGAATGTCATTGCATCAACCTAGCTTTCGGACAGTTCTTCAAGATAAGAGGCTGCAGCTTGTTTTCAGGATGCAGGAGAGAGCCTGTTATGAATCTGATAGTGGGTTTGTTGGGTTTTTTTTTTTGACCTTTCTTCGAAAGTGGATGCCTTACATAAATAGTTGAAGGGTGTTAGAGTTGAGTATATTATTTTATATCTAAAATATCTTGAATATTTGTGCTCTCTGGATGTGAATCAAAAGAGCCTTTGGAAACCTTTCTTTCTCATAGTTTAAAGTTCTGTAACAACTTTTTTTTTTTTTTTGATAGTAAGTTGTGTGTGCAAATGAGCAAAATCTGCTGTCCAGCTGTGGCAGCAAGAGCCTCTAGTTGATGGTGATGCAGTTCAGCTTTGGCATGTAGCAGTTTCATGGCTTCATTTAGGCATTAGAAAGGACAACAGGTCAGTTTTCCGGAGAGGAGCAGCACTCCAAGCAAAGTTGACCGTGTTCTTTTCCCTGTTCAGTTCAGCCTGAGGGCTAGGACACTTCCAAAAAAGTGGAGCTTTGTGGGTGAGGTAATTTAAAATCAAGGTATCTTGAATATTTGTGCTCTCTGGATGTGAAAGCTCAGGTACACAGGTTCTGGTGGTGGGAGCCAATAGGAGCAAATTTGCTTGAAGTTGTGGAGTAGTTGGTTTCACAGCTGAGACATTTTGAAGTCTGCTACTGGAGAAAATCAATCCCTGCTGGTCTTTGTATGGATACTTTCATAGGCTCAAGAGAGGAAGCCTGAAAACTGCCTGCTTTTTCCTCCTTGTCAGAGCAATGGAGGAGTGTTACCACTTTTCTTATTTTAAACAAATCCGTTCTCTCCCTGCCCGAATCTTGGCTACTAGTGCATTAAGAAGACAAATTTTCTTACATACACCTGACATCTCAAACTTGCACAATAAAATATCCTGGATAGAATTACTGTCAGAGCGTGACTAGGGGATATCAGCAGAGCAGCTCATGAGGGACATTTACTTTTCCTGTTGCTTTTGTAGACACCTAATTGCTGCAAAATGCCACGGCAGTGAGAGTTTGTTTTTAAAGCTTTGAAGAAATGATTGCTTGAAGAATTTGCTAGCTTGTGCACAGCTGACATGCTGGGCCTGGGACTGCTGCGTGTTAAACATCTGCCTGCCTGGCTAGTGGGCCAGTCATCAGCATAGCTTCCCCCGTCTGCACAATAGGGGCGTCAGCTGAGGGCTCAAACCTCTGTGCGTTTTTGGTGTTGAAACCGCGATTTGAGGCTGGCCAGCTGTTTGACGAGAAAAGCCAGCTTCCTGGCCTTCTGCAGGCAGGCAGTCGCTAGCCACGCTGTTTTCTGGTGACTGGCGATTCTGGCTGAACTGCACTTCAGTCCTCCCACCGCTGTGGTTGGTTTTCAGCCGTTTCCAGAGTGGTGGGACTGCAGTCTGCCGGCTCTCTGCTGGCAAAGGCAGGCTCCTGTGAGAGAAGCGGGAGGGAACAGAAACAACGCTGTAAAACATTAACTGGGTGACTTCTGCTAGCACCATTCTGCTCCTGAATATCTAACTGGGTTAAAAAATGGATGATCCCAAAATCTGAGGCTCTTCTGAATTTCCCGTAAGAGATATTATGCAAGAAGCTACAACACCTCTGTCATAATTACCACAGTGTTTGCAAACCTGATGCATTGCTGCTCCTTTCAGGAAAGACTTCTAAGTAGGTTCATTGAAAGTAGTTTTTTCTATGCCTTTACTTTCCTGACATGAGCTGATTGGAGAGATTATGAAGTTGCTGTTAATTAAAATAATAAGAAATGAATAATTGTGTCTTGCTGCTCAACCTATGCTTTACCTCTTGAAGGTCATGGAGGCAGAACAGACCAAAACGAGAAGTGAGTTGGTTCACAAGGAGACTGCAGCCAAATACAATGCCGCTATGGGAAGGATGAAGCAGCTGGAGAAGAAGCTGAAAAGAGCCATCAATAAATCAAAGTATGTTTTACATTTGGAGATGAGTTTAGTGGCGAAGTCTGTTTGTGGGAGATACTGATTTGGGGTTTCTTGGGTTTTGGTTTGTGTTTTGGTTTGTTTGGGTTTTTTTGGTTGTTTTTTTTTTTTTCCTTACAAACTTGCCCTTTGTACCTCTCCCTTTGGGCTCCTGTCAGCATGCGGCAGCCTCGCAGCACGACTGGTACTGGTATTAGTCCTTGCATTTGTTGTCCTTGTAAGTGTCTTTTGAAGCACCTGACTTGATAGACAGGTGAACTAAATAGGATAAGAAACCTTTTCTAGGCATGTTCTTAGTCTTGTTCTAGTGCATTGAACCCTTTGGTGAGAACCAGGCTCATGGGACTCGCGTAGATGCTGCCTACAGAAGCACAGAGCTCTGTGTGTGTGTATGCTTCGCAGCTTAGGACTGTTTGCAGTTTAGCTCTTATTTTTAGTTAGGACGGCAACAAGACAAGTGACAGAAACCTGAAAGGCGCGAGACTGCATCGCGGTAGCATGCTGTACATTAGACTTGTTTACCTCCTAACGCTGCTGTAGCAAAGCTGTGCGAGAGCTGTTGTTGGGGAAGGAAGCGCACTTCAGAGAGCATAGCTAAGCAGCAAGTGTCATTAATGAATGTGTCGGCATTTGATCTGTGGTTTTGCTCTGCAGAGAATTGAAACAGCTTTTTGCTCAGAACCTGTTTAAAATTTTGGCCCTGTTTACCACCAGTTCTTAATCCTCTTTGTATTTCACAGTCGTTTTCTTTATATTTCCAGACTGTAGCTTGTCTAAACAATCTGCTTGCTGTATTTAGCTTTTAATCCCTCCATCTAAAAGTGACTTTTTGGTGAAATCAGTCAACTAAAAATCTCTTTTGATTGGTGTTTGCTCAATTCAAGAAAGGATTAGCACTTCTCAAGGAAGATTCAAGCATGCTTGCTGAAACAGTGTAGCAGCGTGCCTTTGTAGAATGAGCTGCATGCTGTTTGTCTAGCACTGCACAGGGACTGTGAAAAACACCATCAGATCACTAAATGACAGATTCCTCTGGATAAGACCAATATCTGAGAAGTAGCTTGGCTGCTAGGAGTTCCTTCCTTACAATAAGATTTAAAATAAAGACCCTGATACGTTGTCTGTGGGGTCCCACATACCTTTTTAAAACAATGATGGTGCTGAGCCGGATGCCCCAGCTGCCTCTCGTGTGACTTTCCTTCCGAGTCTTCATTTCCTTGCTGAAACTACCCTCGTGGGAGTGTTGCCTTGTGTTGTTCTCCTCAGGACAAGCTGGCTTTCGCTTGTGTGGCAGGATCCAAACATATTCCTTTGTCTTGCAGCAGGGCTGACTGCAGCGTAAACCCACCTAGGTAGGGTGTTTTGGAGATCCTTTAATAAGGGGTGTAGAGATTCTTTAATAAGGGATGTACAGAAATGCCAATTCTAATGTAGTAATAAAGTGGAAGATGCCTGATGCACAAACAGGTGTATTGTGGATGTATTTGAAGTCATACTACATAGGGATGTCGGAAAGGTCAGTCATCTCTCAGCATCGCAATTTTCACGTACAGGAAAATTGAAACTGAGCTGAAAACATCAGTGCTGTCAAGTGGCTACATAAAACTGGGAAACGAGGATGCTGAATTTGCAGCTGCTTGTATTATAGGGTGTAACTGGCTACTAGCTGCTTTTCAGGAAGGATTTTACACCAGAAAACTGCTCTGTCCTTCTCCCTGGGTGGTGCGGGAGGGTTGGCTATAGCACCAGGGCCTTTCAGGCCCGTGTTGTCCACTCTCTCTCACCATAAACTCGTGGGTAGATATGAGTCGCTCTTTTTCCATGCAAAAAAATTATTTGCATTTGCCCCTCGCTTCAGTCTGGATTAAGATGCTTAAAATATTACTATTTGAAAGTAAGACTGGGACAGCCTGTAGGAAAGTAATTTAGATGATTTGCAATGTAAAGTTGATGAGTGGATGATTATTGGATTGTTTTGGTTTGGTTTTGCTTTTAGTTTTGTTTCTGCATGCTTGCTTGCTTGTAAGCTATGAATGTGCATACGGCTGCATGTTCTTAACAGTTGCCACATCTGGCTCAGCGCCTCTGAGCTGTAGGATAATGAACTTGCCTGTGTTAGCTGGTTTTTGGAAGTCACTTTCTGCTCTGGTGACTTGGGCAAAGTGCCTTTGACTCTTCCTGCCATCTACTTAATAAGCACTTTGCTTGACTATGCAATGTCATGGACTTAGCTGATGATGTGGACACTGATTGCCTCAGTGAACGATTCGCCAGCCCTGCTGTGTCATGGACCAGGTTTCAGTAGCTACAGGGTTGTGGATGTAAGAGAATGAAGTGACCTGAGGACACACGAGTCCCTACCCTGCCAGCGCATTGCTTTCTGCTGGCATCTGCCAGGCTGTGTGTTAGCGATGAGTGAGGAAGAGAGCTCCTGCGCGTCAGGCTGTTGGTCTACGTTTCCTGGCTTAGGTGCCATCTTTGTCTGTTACCTGTAAACATGCCTGCTCATACGTGCGTGTAGATGTATTTGTGTATATGCACATATATATTATTTTTTCATACCACACAAACACACACATGCTTGTTTGCTGATAGGAAAAAAAAAAAAAGGAGGCTCTTTCCCCCAGGTTTGTGGAAGCTGAGGGGAGGTTCGGATTCAAGCCTGGTTGTTCCCTCCTAGTTGGCACCAGGGTACGGAAGGGAAAGAATTGGGTCATTTGTGGTGAGTGGGTTTCACTGTTTCCCCTGCGACACTGTTTTTTCAGTGTCTCTGCCCCCCCATTGCTTTGGGGTACAGCTGCGGGAGTCCTTTAACTGTTGGATCCGGACTACGAACTATGATATTTTACCATGCCTGGCAGGTCCATCTCTGTAGATTTTGGTAGGGTTATGCCCCAGAGAGGGAAGGCAGAGGTGCAGTTTGGATCAGTGTCACTGGAAACATCAGAGACTTGGCTGTGTGCTCCTAGTGACGGTAGGGGAGTTAATTCAAAACATAGAAGCTGCAAAATAACCTAGTCTCAGGGAAATGCGACCCGGCTATTTTGTGTATGACTGTGTAGTGAATTCAAGCCTTCAAAGGATCGTAAAGTCACGGTTTTACACTCCTGAGTTCTGGTGCACAGTCCAAAATGTAGCTGCAGTAGGACTTAAGAGCTCAGAAGAGGCTTGCTGTAAAGGTAGAAATAAGACAAGGGTTGTTAACATTCTGTTTCGTACAAAAACATATCTGATTGTTCGTACTTTCCAGGAGAGCTTCTGAGAGGTGAGGAGGGTAGCAAGCCCTGCTAAAAATCAGGGCTTTTTTTGCTGCCTGGTGTTACATTGGATGGTATTGGCTTGTGGGCTTCAAAACTTCAAAGCTGGCATGTGGTTTCTAGGCTTTGTACTGTACCTCTTCTGCCTGTGTCCCCCTGCAACCTTATAAGCAAGTTTCATTGTCCATAGTGAGAAATGGATTGGGTGTGACGCTGTCCTCTGTGTCCAAGCAAACTGTTGGAGAGCAGTGCAGTGGGAGGGACATGCCTGGTGGAGCACTGGTGGGAAGTGCTGTGCCCTTGCACATGGTGCTCTGACCTCCCTTTGTCCTCTCTCCTTCACTGAAAAACCTAAGAACTGCCCCTCCATCCCCATATCTGAACGTGGGGGAGTCTAGGGTTCACCTTCTGTGGGGAATTTACATATGCTGTGGGCTCAAAAATTAAATGGATACAGAGAGAATGCCTACACTGTCAGCTGCAAAAACTGGAATTTTGCAATTGTATTTAGGTCAAAAGACCCATGAGAAATAAATATATTAGAAAGGAAAAGAGACATTGAGAGCACATGTAGGTGTTCTATCATCTAGATAGTGGTGTCTTGGGAGTACAGTGGAACACAAACCAGCTATGTTAATGCTATGAAGAGAGCAACTCCCACTGGAGTACTCTGTATTCGGTGATTGTAAACAATTGTTCTTTGTTTTTCCACAGACCTTATTTTGAACTCAAGGCAAAGTACTATGTCCAACTAGAGGTATGTATGTAATTCAGATCCATCTGAAACTCTTTACTGCTTACAGTAAATACTGAAATTAGCTCTAAAGTCCTCCAACAACTGTGTTGCATTTCCGTACAAAACCAATTCATTTCAAAAGCTTTTGAGCAATTTGCTAAGCTATTTTAAATATAAGACTGAGAGGCTTTGTTTCCTCGTGTTAAATAAGTGTTCAAACCCTGATGCTTGCTGTCAGAACTCAACAAATATGGTTTGAGGTTTGACCATCTTTACTTCTTGTAGTTTGACGTATCTGGGGTTTGTTTGGGGTTTTTTTTGTGTGTTCGTTCCCCCCACCCCCCTATGTTTTGTGCATCAGACTGTTTAAGTGTGCTTGGGGTGCTCTTTTCTGTACGCTGGCTGGGTCAATTAACAGAACAAGTAACCTGCTTGTAGGCCTCGAACATCATGCAGATGTGAATTTCTGATTTTTGGGTTTGGCAGAAGCGGGATTTTGGGTTTGGCTGGATAGGCTGACAGGGCTTTTTTGGCATCACTGCACTCTGTGTGGTGCAATGATGTCTGGCCAGTGCTTGACCACAGTGCACACCTTGTAGGGCACAGTGGCCCTGGGGTGGGCATGGCCGTTGTGCATGGGACGGTAATCCCTGCTATTACAGCCGCTAGTCTTGGAGCTGCCAGGGGTGGCAAAGTCGCACTAAAAATTCAAATGCAAGACCTGCTTTCTTTGTGGTTGAGTGACTTTTAGTGCATGCGGCCCCCAAAAACTGGAAGCCTGGCTCCTCCGAGTTGAAGGGTAGTGGCTTGTGCTGTGGGTGCGTGGGAAGTGCACGGGCTCAGAGTGGAGCATGTTGCCTTGCACTGTTGGCCACGAGTGCAGGAAGGCTCCAGCGGGGTGCTAGGTCAGCAGGAGCCTAGCTAGAGGATTCCCATTCCTTGTCTGGGGTGCAAGGTATGCCCCACACCTTTTTTCCTTCCCTGGGTTGCCTGAGATGCAACAGGTCTTCGTAAGCCTTGGAGACACTGGTGTGCACCTTTTCCTTGCCAGGATCCAGCCTTGGGCTGCCCTCTGCTCCTCTGTCTTGCCTGTCTGCATAGCTGTGGTCAGCAGCTCTGCTGCACGGAGCTGAACCCTCGTCTGTCCTGGGCTGGGTGCTGGCCCCAAATCCCTTCTGGCTAGAAGCATCTTTTGAGAAATCCGCTTTTCTCGGTGGGCAAAGGCCCACTGTTTGGAGGCCTGTTGCTTCTCCATGACAGCTGCTCAGTGCCCTCCTGAAGCAGTGTGATTGTGTAAAATACAATACAAAAGACAGCACAGAACTGTTTTCAATCTACAACATAAACCAGAGTTGAGTCAGGTACAGATACACAAGCAGTGTTTTACCTTTGGGAGACAGGGTGTACAACACTTTTGCCCTTGCTGTAGAGTGGGTTTGTGCCTGGGGACGTGGAAGCTGCTGTGTTACATCTGTCAGGGTTTGAGGCTTTTCTGCTTTCTGGTTTGCAGGTTTAGTGACCAAGAAGTGGTGGGTTTGATGCTCAGAGGAGAGTAGGCTTAGCCCCTTTAGGGAAGAACCACAGCAAACCCTTACGGGTGGTTGTAAGATGAAAAGGGACACGCTGTTGTAAGCTGCATCCATGTTAACGAGAGATTCTGCATGTTAACGGGGGACCCCTGCTCTGTGCTTCGTCGGGGTCCTTTACAACACTCCAGCCCCTGTCTCCTTCACAAGTGCCACTGCTTGCGCTGGGGTGCTCTTGAATTAGGAGCTCTCCCATCACCTAGATACCCACCGTGGTTTATGCTAGCTTGCCTGTGCAGAGCCAAGTCATGTGGACACGTAACGGAGAACTGCATACCGTGTGTTGTTCATAATGAATGTGCATCTAATGACTGTCTTCCTTGGTAGCAACTGAAGAAGACTGTGGATGACCTGCAGGCAAAACTGGCCCTGGCAAAGGGAGAGTATAAGACTGCCTTGAAAAACCTCGAGATGATCTCAGATGAGATTCATGAGAGGAGACGGTCCACTGCCATGGGGCCCCGAGGATGTGGCGTGGGTGCTGAAGGGAGCAATACCTCTGTGGAAGACCTGTCAGCAAGTAAACTGGAGTCGGACACCATCTCCAGTGAGTACAGAGCACTGGGAATATCCTGTGGGCATCATAAGAAATGCTGAGATGGAGGTTGCTCTACGTATTCTGCAGCTTGAAATTTGCTGGCTGTTGTGGGACCGTGGCTAACTTATTAAGCTTCTTGTTATTACAGGAGTTTATTGTATTCTTTAATAGCCAGTTTTCAAGGGGAAGGGATATGAGTTGAAGTGCATCAGCTGTTCCCTTAGCATTGTTGTTGGTTTCTGTGCAGTGTTGTATGAAAGGAATAAAATTAATGCACTTCAAAGCATGCTCCTAATTTTTAAGCCAGTGATGCTGCTGTCAGTGCCTTCCCTGGGGGTGGTTGCAGGCTGTCGGTGACTTGCCGGGGGTGGTCGCAGGCTGCTGTAGATCATTCAGCCAGGCTGCTGAGGCGGCAGCGCTCTTTGGAAACAGACCTTTTGGATCAAGTGCTTGTCTTGCCATGCTGGGCCTGTGGCAGAGGGGCTGAAGTTGCAGCTACAGTAGTACAGAAAGGCGTGATGCTCGCACAAAGGGCTGTAAGGATAAGCTCCTTTGTGCTGTAGGACCTGCTGCCAATATGTGATTTCAGCAGAGCATGTGTGCTGCGAAGAAGGGAAGCGAAGAAGCGGTGATATGCTAATGCAGTGTGCTGAGGCTCTGTACAAGGGACGTTGCTCTTGGCTGACAGCAGCAACACCAAGCAAGCTCCAAGCCTAGGTAACCTCTGCTTTCTGGTGGCAGAGGGGGAGCTTGAGCTGCAAAGACTGATAGTCTGTTGTATTGTGAGTTTGCTTTTGTCCTGGCTCTGGGTGGAAGTGGATAGGTGGACTTTGCACGTGGCCTGCTCTTTCCTCCCTCTTGGACACTTCCTCCCCTTCTTGATGCAGAGTCTTTTTTTGCTGCCTGGTCCTGCAAATCCCAGTTTAATTTGTATTTCAGCTCCATTTCTGCAGGTAAAACTCTAGGTCAGGATTGCAGGAGTTTATAATTACATGACCTGAAGGCTGAATTTGTGGTGCCCTCGTGTGTACCGGTGCTGAGGCCCTGTAGGTCTGTGGCACAGCCTGGCTGTGCTGTGGGAGCTGGGAGGCAGCCCTGGGCTGGCCTCGGTCCGCTGCAGTGGCAGGAGTTTTCGCACAATGTGCTGGAGCTCCCACACTCCGTACTGTGCAGCCGGGACCTGAGTTGCCACAGCAAGTGATGGTGGTGTCTGGGCCCACTGATGCAGTGGGGTTTTGGTATGGCTGCCTATCTTCGGGCTCCCTGGAGTCCCAAGGTTGAGCCTTTCTGAGCTAGGCAGGGCTTGCCTCTTTGGATACCCACAAGTCCCCCCTTCTCACGCAGAAAGCCTCCCGAGAGGGCCTTGGGTATAAACTCTGTTGGGGGCTTTCTTGGGCTGGAGGAGTTCAGGGGCCTGGTATGTAGGGGTGGAAAGAGCCAGGAAAGTCAATTCAGAGCAACCTCTTGCTGGCCCGCCTGGCCGCTGCTGAGGCTGCAGGCAAGGACGGGCTCATCCGCCTCTTTGAATTGCACATCCTGACGTTTGTGGGAGGACTCCAGGTTGTGTCTCGTGGCAGCACAGGGCTGGGTTGCAACGGGGCAGGACTAGCAGCCTGCAAACATAATAACCAAAGTAGCCTTGACAGGTGAAGCTCTTATGCTTTGTAACATGTGGGGGGTTTCTGCCAAGGCCCTTTTACATCTTGATTTCTGTCTGCTGGAGTTGAATAAAACACCTCATGATCAGCAAGAGTTTTCTGGCCCTAGCAGATGCTCCTGTGTCGCAAGTTTAGACTGTGATAAGCAAGCTACAGTTTAAGTTGTGGACTAACTGGTATCAGTGCTTCTTACCAAGAAGAGGACTTCTGTAATTAGAAATGTCTTTTTTGCCCAACCTTTTTTTTGCTTTCACCCCCTGCAAAGTTATCTGTATTGCTCACCACATAGTGATAAAACACAGCGAGTGAGAAGAAAGGACACTCTGCAGTCTTGGATTTGACATCATTAAAAACAAACCAACAAAACCAAAACCACAACAAAGTGTCCCGGCAGGGGCCCAGGAAAGGGGGATAATGCTGTTATCCATTTTATGTTTGAAGCTCTTTAGGTCAGTTCTACAATGTGTAAGGACAGTTCTGCCATCTGCAAATACAGCAGAAAGAGGCTGAATACCTCTGAAATAACTGTGTTGGTAGCTGCTTCTGTTTGCACCCTTTGTGTCCGAGTGGTGCACGTGAGCCCCAGGCTGCCGAGGGAACAGAACCACCACTTTGAAACTTCTCCTTTGAGCCGTTTCATTAACGCTGCTGCTTTTCTCCTGCTGCTCTTTCAAGGTGGTTCTGAGCCTCTCTAACAATGGCAGGAATTGCAACGAGATGTAATTGAAGATGATCTCAGGTCACTGTAAATCGTGGGACTTCTTCAGACCGGTGTGATTCCAGCACACGCCTCTGTTGTGCAGAGGCTGATGCACCTAAAAAGCCTTCTGATCCCAGTGGGGCTACTTGTGTGCAGAAGTCTTTGGTTCATAGGTCCCCATCCCACAATAAGCTAAGATTGACAAAATGTTGAATTTTTGCAAAATCTACACTCTTGTACTGCACAAAACAGAACCTTCATTAATGGGTTCCTCCTCCTGTTGCTAGCAGAGACCCTACAGCTTAGTCTAGCCAGACAGGTTGGAGTTGGTTTGCTTTAATTAGAATTCAGATCTGAGCAAACATGAGCAGGGAAAATGATATATGTGGGTGGGGCTTTTTTTATTTTGGTGTTGCTTGGTGATCCTCATCCGAAAAGAGATTTTGGGAGTTCATGCTGGATTTTAACTGCAAAAGATAAGGTGGAAGCAATCTGCCCCTGCAGCTATGTCTGTCTAATTAGTGCCTCAAATAACCAGGAGTCTGTGCTGGGATCAAGATGGCACTGGCTGAGGCGGGCGCAGGGACTAGGCCCTGGCCTAGGTTATGTGCTGAAGACCACGAGTGAACAAGGCCGGCTGGGCAGGGGGCAGCAGGAACAGTAAAAATCCCAGAGCATCTTGGCTTGAGGAGCAGCAGTAGTTAGTGTAGGGCTGGTCTGGCAGGGCATGGCCGGCAGGTGTGCTGTTCCTCGGAGCAGGGCCAGCCTTCATGCTGCATGAAGTGCAGGGTTAAGGCTTTGCAAAGGGGGCAGGCTACGAGAAGAGGCCACCCATGGGCGGGCAGAGCATGTGTGTACAGAAGGTGCAAACCTGAGAAACTGCCTTTGCCCGGGACGGTGCCGGAGGGGTAGGTTTGCTAACCGGAGTATTCTTTCTTTGAATGCTGCAGTGGCTTCAGAAGCGTTTGAGGATGACAACGGCAGCAGCCTCGTATCCGAAGAAGATTCGGAAACTCAGTCGGTGTCCAGCTTCAGCTCTGGTCCTACGAGCCCCTGCGAGGTGCCCACCCAGTTTCCTCCTGCGACGCGACCTGGAAGCCTGGATCTGCCCAGCCCTGTGTCCCTCTCTGAGTTTGGGATGATCTTTCCTGTCCTCGGCCCCCGAAGCGAATGCAGCGGCGCGTCCTCCCCCGAGTGCGAAGCTGAAAGAGGTACGCACAGCTGGATACGCCCTGGGCCGATGCTGTTCAGCTTCATAAAGGGAGTGGGAAAGCCTGCTCAGCTCCCCTAGGCCTGTCGCCAGCTCCCTGAGCTCTGACCCGCTGGCAGCTTCCTTGGGGAAGGCAGTTTTGAAGGCCCTGCGTCCCACGGTTAATGATGACATCTAAAATGTTTTAATTGTTCTCCTGCCTGGGAAGGTTCTCCGGTTCTGTCTCAGTGGAGGGGTTTGAGGTTTCTCATGAAGTAAGTGATCAGTGGGATTCTGATGGTACATTTACTTTAAGGAAAACCTGAGTTTGTTTTTTTTTTTTACTGTCCTGCTTGCTGAAAATCCTGCTTTCCAGGAAAAAAAAAAAAGAAATAACATGCCAAAAGGAACCTCTTGCAGGCTCTGCCAGCCCTTGCTGACAAATTCGGACTAGAGGATTACCACCACCCTTGTGTACTCCAACCTAAGGCCATTTAAGCTGTAACTCGCTGATGCAGTGCATGAGACGAGCGCGGCTTGAAGGCCGACTTTGGTTTCGTTAAAAGCATTTTGCTCCTGCTCCTATATATACGTGTATATATATATATATTTCTTTTTTTTTTTGCTTGCTTTGGCAAAGGAAGCTGCAGAGGCACCCGCTTGAAGCTTAAGTTGCAGAATGAAATCCGGGTTTAACATCTAGTTTAATCCTTTCTTTGCAGGGGATAGGGCAGAAGGGGCTGAGAACAAGACAAACGACAGAGTCAACAAGAATAGGAGCAGCAACAGGAGCAGCTCCACTGAGGGGCTGGCTTTGGATAACCGAATGAAGCAGCTCTCCCTTCAGTGCATGAAAATCAAAGAGGGAATATGCGCAGGCAGAAAAGCTGCCCAGATTGGTTGAGTCCTTCTTGTGCCCTGTCCTGATTAATGGGAGTATAAATATTTATACATGAACTTCTAAGTGTTTGAAGAACATTGTGCCAATAATATATGCCAAATCTTAAGCGTTTACTCTAAGAATTTACAACTGCACTAAGAAGTCTAATTGATGTGGAGGGCTGAAGTTTTTATTCAGTAAATCCTTTGTAGGCCGGACAGGTTATCAAATGTTTAAGCTGTGCTCATATTTCACAGACTTTGTCAATTGTTTTGTAGCAGCCTGGCTGAAGCAATAATTAGTAATGTTCCCGTGTAAATTCATGCCAGTAGGGGGTCTGAAATTCAAGCCAGACATTTGCAGAGCGCTGTTTGGCTTCAGTTTTGTAGAATGAAATGCTCTTTAGATACAGTGGATCTCTTGAGTACAAGTGGCATATTCTTTAAACATCTGTATTTGTCTGTATTATGCTGAAACTGTAGAAATATTTTGTATACAGAAAAGCTGTTGCATGTGTGGGGTCTAAAAGCCTTCACTCTTCCCTTGGTGCTCACAGAAAGGATAAAGATGAGCCAGGCCTATAAAAACTGGTGTTGTGACGGACAAAAAGGGGATGGTAACACTCGGCAGTGGTAGGCCCTTTCTAGCCACCTTCCTGAGTCTGGCTTGGACTCTGAGGGTGATTCCAGTGACCAAAAAGAGTTGATTGGCCCCTTGCCCTTCCCCTCCCCTGAGAAGTGAAGTATTATTTTTCAGCACTTTAAGTGTGGGTTTTTTTTTTTTTTTTGCTCGAAAATGGGAGTCATAGATGTTTTCAGGACAGTTATGATAAGGGATTCGCCCTTGAAATAATGCATGAAGAAAAGGAATTGCCAGTGTAGATTGACAATGTGTTCTTAAGTTTCTCCGTAGGTTGTACTGTGTGGGGTTTTATAACTGTTAAAGGAAACTGGGATTCTAGTATGCCCTAGAGAAAGTGTTCAATGAGACTAGAAAGGGCACGGGCATGTTTTGCCAGCAGCTGTTAGGCAGTAGTAGTGTCTGGTAACTATGCTAATAAGTGGTAGTAAAAATCCTAGGACTCTTCAGTTTTGGTGGGTAAGCATTTCTGACAGCACCATTTTATCTAAGATGTCGGTTTATATTGTTAATTTGATGGGAATTTTAGTATTGCCCCCAAAGTATTTTCTATTCTATGTTTTTGCAGTCCTGTTGTATTTCGTCCCTGCCACAGCTTGTGTATCTATTCTCAACGTTACTGTAAAATTCTTCACACTACAGTAAACATTTTTGTTTTCCACAATTTGAGTCTGTGCAACCTCAGTGTATCTCAAGCGCCAAGAACTGAATCTTCTGCAGCAAGTTTGGTCTTTAAATACCCACTTCCAGTTGAAGACTGCGGCCCGGTGTCGCTCTCCTTGGTATTGGATTCCTTTGCAGTACGTAGACAACTGTTACCTCCTTCCAGCTTCCTAAATCCCTGCACACGTGATTTGCCTTTTACTCTGAACTGCGTGAGACCAGAGCTTTAGTCAGGTTTTCCAAAATCCCTTAGGATGCAGAAAAGAGGGTATTCTGCTGCCGAACACCTCTGTACTTAATGCTGCTGCCATTTGCTGTAAGGCCATGCAGGATTAGAGGTAATGAAACCTGTTTTCATAAAAATTAGCTTCAACACATTGTAGCTGTTAAGCTGCAATATCTTTAAATATTCATACATTTACACTTTCCGAAGACCTGAAGTCTGAACTCTGACACTGGTAGCATTTCCCAGCCCAATAAATGCTTGGGAAAGAAGTCTGTGGTTCCAGCTTCTGATGTGACCATTACCTGGGGAGAAGCTGGGACTGACAGTATTAAATACGAGGTGAAAAGCAGTACAGAACTGCCACGTTGTACAAAATGTTTTAACTTAAACTTTGGTAGCTAAGCTATTGTCTGTGCTCCATACAGTTAGAAAAATTAGCAGAGGCAGTTGTTGAGTATCTTATTTTTGCAGACTTGCCAGTCAACCCCTATTACATTTCCCTGGGTTGTCTGGGTATTGTTTTGGTGGTGGTTGGGCTTTAACCTCTCTTGCTATCAATCTTGTCTCATCTGGCCAGTTCTGACTGGAAACCCAAACTCCCTGCATTAGTTTTTATGTCAGCAGGATATAAAAGCAGTCGTGTGCTGCCTTGCATGTGTCCTGATTGGGTTCCCCTTCCAGCTGGGTAAAACCACAGATCAGGAAGCACCGAAGGGTGTGGGACCCACCGTACCCTCGCGTTACACCACGCTTCTGCAGCCTTCTTCTGTTGGTGACCCCTGGACTTGGCAGGTAAATCACAAGCAAACAGGCAGAACTGCATATCTAATAAATTAACGGAAAACTTTTTATTTTAATCTTCATAAAAGCCATAATTATAAATATGACAAACTCCAATGACCAACCATCACTATAGAGTACAGGCAAATGAACAAGGTTTCTCCAGTTACTTTTCTGTTGGAGCTCTTTGAGCATTCTGAAGTGTAACGGATGGTAGCTGCCTTCACGGGTATAAAAATAAGCGTCTGGTGTATCAAAGTATACACGATCACTTCAGCTGCCCTGAAGTGAGAATGTATAAAGCAATGTTAACCTAGGAATTCTCCTTCTCTTTGGTATTATCAAACAATTTAAATGTCCTTTTTGACGAAGCGATGAAAGCTCTCCTGTATACAGGTACACAGACTTCCCTCTCAATAGCTGGCTGCTCAGCCACCCCACAGACTGTGCGGTCAAGTGCGTAACTGCTGTACAAAACAGCTACGTGAACCTTTGCATCAGGAAACTCGGACCGGATCTCAGGCTCCTGGAGCAGAGGGGATAGGAGCCGTTGCTACTGTTCATCCATGGTACAGCCTCTCACTGAGCCTCTGAGAACTGGTGGATTAACCGAGGACTAACCTCGGTTTTCCTAACAAAGCCAATGGGGGCATGTGTGTGTCTGGGGGGTGTCTCGCCCTGAGCTATAAACAGCAGCATTCTGGGGTCTGTATGGAGCTGTAAAGTAGGATTTAAAAAAAAAAATACACAGAAAAGGCTTTGCAGTGCGTAAGGAGGAGAACATCAAGACTTCTGAAGAGGCTATCTCCAGTTATCCCTCTGCACCACTGACACAGAATTAAAAATCATTTCTTTGTAGTAGTCTTCCCTTAGGGAAACAAAGAAAGTGTAAACTCTCTTACAGCAATTGGCTTAGTTTTGTCAGCTATCCTCCTCCTGCGGTAGCTCAGAACCGTACAGGGTGTGACAAGCAACTTAGGAGTGTGGGATGCGTGTTGCTGTATTTCACTGTTTAAAAGCTTCAATTGCACGTTTACAGGCAGAGAATGCTTAAGGGTCAAGAGGTGTGTGTGGAATTGGAAGTGAAGTAACATGACTGAGGTACCCATGTTACAGTCTGAGCTGTGGTGCAGCTATTTAAATTTTTGCACACGCAGGCCTTATTCCTTTCTAAAAGCCTTGCTGTGTAACGCTTCCATGCTGACATCAGCATCTAGTATTTGCTGTCATAGGATCAAAACATGCTAAATTATATAGGAGAAAGAAAAGCTTAACCTAGATATTGGCCTGAGGCTGGGTTCAATTCAAAGGATCAGTTCACTTTCCGGAATTATTTGTGTAAAAAATACAGCTGTATTTGACAGAAAATAGCAAAGGAAACTGCAAGCGCTGACATGAACACTTTTTTTCTAAGAAAAAAGGGCAAGAAAATTTTGTTGTAAGATTAATTTGCCACAAACGGAAGCTGTAGACTAGAATATTTTGTATTTCCTTTTAAATACCCCACCTGAGTGTTCTGTCCTGTGTCTGAAAGAAAATGTACAGTCCTAGGAGATGCAACATCTGGACAGGACTTGTGTTAAAAAGGCCACCGCTACTGAGTGTTTTAAATCCTGTGCAGTTACGGGGATGAGCCCAGTCCCCTGAGTGTACTGTATGGGTAAGGAACATGAGTGTATCCTGGAGGGGAGAGGATGCTCTGTCCTTTAACGCCTTTGTCTGGCATTAGGAATGTGAGTTTGTTCCTCGCTTTGAGTCTAGCACCGTGTGGAAGCTGAGCCTTATCCAGCAGAAGCTTTAGCACTAGCTTGAGCTTGCAGGGCAGGGGCGGAAGAAAGAGAAACCCCTTCCTGCAGAGCAGGAACCAGCTACAGAAGAGCAACAACAGATTTTACTGTAGGCAAGTCTACCAGCTTGCTCTCACACAGCAGAGGATGTGCAAGAACTCCGCACTGAGAAGCGACAGTTCTGGCATCTCCCTTTTGTACTGTCAAAGATGCTCTGTTGAGACTTGCTACCTACCTCTCACTTCACCGGGGCCAGCACTCATACAGGACTCCATTGCCACTCTGCTTTAGCCTGAGCTAAAAACTTCACGCAGGTTTGTAGGGAAAATGTGAGTCGAATGAAATCTTAATTCTGTAGGGATGAATCTGTGCTGGGTGCGTGCTCCAAAAGCCAAGGATGACCACAAAGAACCTAATCTGTTTTTTGCTCAGCTCGTGCCTATGCTGTTCCCTCTGTTGGTCTGTTGCAATAATCATCAGAAACTTCTCTGCAAAAGAAGGTAAGTCACACTGTGACACACTTGTCACAGATTTCCTAGCCCAGATGGTCTTTGAGAGAACTGCAGTCAGAAAGGCGTGCGTTTTCAATGCCCTTTTAAAGCCAGACACTTGCTAAGCAGCTGTCTGATGAAGGAAATGAAACAAAAGGATCTTGTACTTTCTGGAGAGGGCCAATAGCAGCCTTCTGTGGGAATAATTTTATCTGGTGCTCCTGTAACGTGTGCGCTCAATTTCCCAATAATCAAATGGCACCTGTGCTCCAAAATAAGATTTAAATGCTACCTTTTTGCTTGGAAAACTGCCAAACCAACCTGAATGGCAAAGAACTTCCTATGGCTGTTTTAAAAACACCCTCTCCCCAGCTGTCAAATGTAGTGGAATTAAGTCTGCCTTTTGTAAAAAGACAAAAAATAATGCATTTTAGGATCAGTGAGGCAGTCAGTATTTAAATTAAAAACTTGGTTATCTTCAATCCTCTTCAGATACAACGTATATAGATCTTCTAGAGGAAAAGCACACCCAGTCTGCTTCTAAAGAAGGTTGTTCTGTGCTAATGCCACTTCCACTATTAAGAACGCTGACCCTACTGCTGTTGCTGAAGCTGGCTGAGCGCTCAATTCATTCACTGGTTTCAACTTGCAAGAAAAGTTCCTTTTCAAGGATGTCTTGTCTAAGGGGATCAGCAAGTGCATTTCTTGCTGCCGTGGTTTATGAGGGGCAGAGGTTTAAATGATCCTTCCCCTACAGGCTGAATACTTGTAAAAATGACAAGAATAAAACACTTCTTTGCTGGGGGAGTGGTGGTGGGTAGTTCCCTACTTCCTTGCACCAGCAAGTGAGACTACCTCAGGAGATACAGAGAATCTCACAGTGCACAAAGAAAACCTTTCGCACCTGCTATGCGAAGGGCGAGCTGCGCTGTCTGTACGCTGCTGCTGACCCGGATCAAGCTAGCTCTTACCACTAGGAGGAAGAAAGCCTGTTACATTGTGCTGTAGTATTATGCACTAAAGTAATACAGATGGGAAATAACAGCTCTCAAAGTACATGTAACAAGAGTGAAGCCGTTGTTTTTCTTTTAGAAAGAGCTAAAGCCAGAATCTTCCTTTTCCTTTGCTCCTATGTACATATTCCAACAAGCCAAACATGTTCCTCTGGAATACTACATGCTCAGCAGTGCTAAGTTTACATTAGATGTGAGAACTAGTTCAATGCTGAAAACACTCAAGAGAGCAGCACAAACATGTAGTAAAAGCTATTTGGTCCTGAGACTGAATAAGCAGAATACACAAGAGCATTTTTTCTTAAATGTTTACTTTTACGAATAAAATCTTAAACCCATATACCCTGGAGTTTGGGAGAAGAGAATTTAAATGTTAGTTTTTCCTCTCAACTTACTAGACTTTGATTGAAATGTAGAAAAACTGCAATAAATTGAATTCTGCCAGTTCAGTTGAGTATAAGCATTTTAGCTTGTTCACAAGCCTGCTGAAAAAATCCACTACCAGAGCAGTAAACCCCACGGCTAACTGTCTGCCACAATTAACTGGCAAATCAGTGATTCAATGCTTTTGGCTATAACTTAGAATGTAATTTTCTTTTATGCATATGTGTAGTAAGAGTTATTCACCTGTTCTCAGACTGTAGGACAGATGAAAACCACCTCCTTAAACAGTAATGCACAGCTCTGTCTCCTCACTGCAGCTGTGATACCTTAAGAGGAGTAGCACTGTTAAAATCTAAGAAAAAAGGACCCTCTTGTTGAGGCAGGAATGTGGTGGGGATGATGTTGTAAACTCCAGCAAATATGTTCTCCACTTCCAAGTAGCAAAATCCACACCTATGATAAAAGAAACTACCTGTTAGAACTAAGGTCTAAAGCATGTTTCAAACCTCTATGACTTCATTAAGTGAATATTACCTGTAGTCACCACTGCTCTTTTTCTGAAAGCCATAGGAACCAGGATCTCCTACTGTCGAGACAGTGACGAGTTCAAAACCAACGCTGTATTGCCTGCAAGTGATGTGACAGACTGTTACTTTTGTTGTTTGGGTTGCCAGGATTACTACGATTTTTAGATTAAAAACTACACAGTGTAACTGGAAGACATCTAAAGTTTTGTCACATTTGTGACAGAAATGTTAAGTCAAACTTACCATGAAATGCATGTAGAATTTGGAGGAAGACAGAACACAGTTCAGGTTCAGAACTGGACTATATGGAACAGGCCTGCTGGCAGCCTGCCTCTGCATTTGAGCAGATTTGAAGTAGTTCAACTTGCGGTGACACACTCCTGTGCCACGTGGCACAGACCCTGCGGTGGGATCTGATCGCTGTCAGAGGAATCAGTGTTGGTGATCTCAGCCGAATTTCTCATGTTGCGCTATAACCCGGGACAGTTTATCTACTACCTGTTAATGCAGGTGACATCACCACTGCCCCACCATTCAGACTACCCAAATATGATCTGCAAGCGCAGAAGAAAAAAGCATACAAACCCACCGCTCAGCTAGTGGAACAGTACAGCCACACCTTTGCACTCGTCCTCATTTCATGAGAAGGAGTTTCCTCCAAGAGGGGAGGATGGACAGAAAAGTGCTGCCATTTTGTGGGGCCCACTGTACAGCTTTGCAAAAGATAAACGCCTGCCTGCATGGCAGGAGAGGCTGCCATTTAGAAGCGCTGTAAGCTGGTAGTTTGAGGTAGGTCACGAATGTTGCCGTCTATCTGCTCGATAGGGCACTGACATCCAATACTTCTCCTGGCCTGCTAGTGGCAGAGTAAAAAACGCAGTTTTGGAGCTGAAGCTACTGCACAGGCCATTGTTCGAGAGCCTGCAAGGGTTTAGTATCCTGCATCTTAGCCCTACTGCAAAAGAAAAGGGATTATGATCCTCTTTTTAAGAGGGAAAAAAAATCTTTTCTACCTTCTTCCCTTCTATGCAAAGCGTAGCTCTGCTCAGACCCCAAAACTAGAGAGAAAGAAGGTTCCTGCTTTCCTTGGAGGTCGAGGACTTCCTCAGTAGCAAATGTGCGGGTTTAAACCACTAGTGATGGTGAAGTTCGAAACATAAGCCTGAGCCACCTCCCATACCTTGCCTTTTGGCTTTCCAGGGAGCTTCCCACCCTCCCCATGGAAGACACTGACAAAGCTTTATCTTTAGCATGTAATACTCTCTACAGACCTTGGTCCCCGTAGTTCAATTAGTAATGGTCCATTCTTGTCCAGCTGGAATTGATAAATGGGGTTATTTTTGTAGGTGTCTCTGAAATTTCCACATCCTCCAGCACTGTGACCTTTCCACTGTCCATTGACCTGGAAGAAGTCAAAAGTACAGAAAATACTTTATATCCTGAGGATTTGTATTGCTTATTTATGCACACAAACAAGACTAGAGGCTCCTCTCCTCTCGCTTCAGAGGTCACCGATTTCGGTAATCTCTCCTAATTTTTAAAGTGCAAGTGAAAGACTGTGTTAAGTATTCAGAAAGTTTTACTGCAGTCCTCCACCCAGCTTTATCAAAGCCTTAGATCCCTTAGAAGTGTACATCACTTTTTCAGCTAATATTTAATAAATAACAAGTGACTTTCTGACTATGACAAGCTGCATCCAACAAAAGAGCTACATTCCCATCTATCCCAAGACTACTGAAGTACACAGGTTATTTTTTTTGCTCAGACCCTCCTCTGCTGCGCTCAGTGAGAAACAGCAGCGGCCCGGGAAGCGCACCACCACTTGTGTTGTAACCTTTGCTTTTGAAACCGCTGCCTCCAGCCCTGTCCATTCACCTCTACACCCTCCTCTGAGAGGCAGCATTACAGGGACAAGATACCCGTAAGGACAGATTCTGCAAGGACAAAGACATACAAGAGGAAAAATGCCGCTCAGGCGTTGAGAAACAGGCCATCTGGCCGCCAGTTCCTCCTGCTAGTCACTAAACTGAAAGGTTAGCCTTGCAAGACATGCCAGGCATTCACACAAATTTATAGCTGAGATCCATTTCTCCTGTTACTCCCCTCCCCTCTCTGTCAAATCAGCAAGAAACAACATTTTTTTCTTGCAATTTAATTTCTTTACTCAGTGTCCAAAAACCTCAAACATGGCAAGTTTGGAAGCAAGGGGGATTTCTCTCCTGACTATGCTGCTAGCTGTGTGCTGTAGCTTCCCAGGCCTTTTCCACCTCTGCTGCACTTAGTTCCAGGAATGTCCCCAGGGCTTGGCAAGCCTCAGAGGCGAGCACTCAACTTCTTTAGCATAAGACATCTAACCCAACTTGCTTTTACTGGTGAACTGCGAATCCCTTACCTGCTTCGTTTTAAGTGTGATGACTGCTAAGCGAGCACCAGATAAACGTTAAGCACAGGCACCTAACTTTTTGTATTTGATCATAAAGACAGAGCTGGCCTTGCATAGACAGGACATGCCTTTTATTTGAATACTAGACAGACATCTTCAAATAATTAACAGGATGTTGCCACATACTTGATTTTCTTTTGAAATTCAATACAGATATCCTGCCCCAGACCAGGCTGGTCACCTTCAATGAGTTTTTGACCTCTTAAAGCATTCCCCCAAAATAAGACCAGTTTTTAAGAGCTAAAAAGACAATGGTTTCCAGAAGAACCAAGCAGATCATCTTGCTGGTCCCAGGAATCTCTCTAGCCCCTTACATTCTCCAGGGTAGGCTGGCTTCAAGGGGCTGTTCCAGAAATAACAGCTGGTACGAAATGCTGCCTGAACCCGAGAGCCTAGCTGCGAGCCAGCGTGTCCCACGACCGCAGGGAGTAATGTAATCCTTGGCTTCAGGCACGAGCGTCCTAGAAAACAGGCTGTTCCACGGTGCCTCAAACTACCTTCGTTTCTCTCTTCCTGAAGAAGTTACTGTTTGGACAGAAGACTCCTGCCTACAGTAGGGTTCCCCAGGGTATCCACAGTAGGTACAGAGCTTAAAGTTAACAGCTGCTGGCTTATTCTTTCTTGAGGATAAAATTGCTAATACACAAAAATACATGCAAGTTACTTCATCCTGTGAGCTCCTGGCTATATTTACACTTCAGCTGAAGGTGTAACTGCAGCTCATGTTGACAGCAGAGCTATGAACAGCAGCTGGCCCCAAAACTGCCTGTGCTTCTGACTTAACTTCAGTCACAGTTTTGCTCTTGCCCCTGGCTGCTGTACCCTTGGGGAGCATTTCCATGTGAAATGTACCACGGGAATATTGCCCTGCGCCTGTTCGGCAATGCGAGTGCTTAATGCAGTGGTTACAGGCCTTTGAGGCGTCTTTGCAAAATTTAGGAGCAGGA